GGGGGGGGGGGGGGGGGGGGGGGGGGGGGGGGGGAGGGAGGGAGAGAGGGAGGGAAAGGGGGAGAGAGAGGGAGAGGGGGAAAGAGAGAGGGAGAGAGGGAGGGAGAGAGAGGGAGAGAGAGGGAGGGAGAAAGAGGGAGAGAGGGAGGGAGGGAGAGGGAGAGGATGCTTACAGATCCGAAGGCAGCTCAGGGCAAAGGGGGAGCGGCAGTGGGGACGGAAAGGCAGGCAGAAGCACCGGGAGGGAGTTGGTGTAAAGAGGGCTGGGGTCCGTCCTTCTGTTTCCCTCGTGCCTTGAATGTCCTTGCCTGGAGACCTTCTGGCTCCTTCCCTGCACTGGGTGCCACAAGGCTCACCTTGGAAGGCACGGCCTGTGTGCTTGCGCCCTGCGCCCAGCGCCCTCTTTCTCCACACTGACAGTGCTGGAGAAAAGAAAGAGGGTCCCTGGGGTCTCCTCCCCTGTGATAAGCTTGATCTGGGCTCATCCATCCAAGCGGGATCAAGTTCTGGGGAATCTGCCTGGAATTCACCCTGTTGCAGCTGAAGATTTCTCTCTCTCTGCCTCTCTCTCTCTGTGAGGATGGGTGTTTAATTGTGTAATTATGCTTGTTAGCTGCCCGGCACAGGGTCCTCAAGAAGAGCCTGGAGGAGACATTCCTTGACCACCAAATCTTTCAGCAGCAGGACTTGGTGCCACAGGTGCTGGGTGACTCAGAGGTGGGGGAGGGCATTGGGAATCCCCTGGGCAGGAATGGCAGCAGGGGGCTCCCGATTGGCATTGGCTGGGGCTGGTGGACGGGCTGAGCTACCCCTGTGCCAGTTTCCTGCCTACCTGCAGATCCCTCTCGATCTCCTCGTACACTTTGGACAGCTTTCCCTCTCGGTCGTGCAAGCTGGTGTTCGCCTTGTGGTGACGCTTCCGCCAGTCCTCAAAGTAAGACTCCTCCAGGTGTCGGTAAGCCACCACCAAGGTCCGCAAACCTTCCCCAGCAAACTCCTAGGAAGACAGCAGGCTGAGTGTCCCAAATCAGCCACGGGAGGGGGGGGGGAAAGAGGGGGTCAAATTCTTCTACGAAGACCGGAGGGCAGGACAGGAAACGATGGAGGGAAACTCATCAAGGAGAGAAGCAACCTGGAACTCGGGAGAGACTTCCTAACGGTTCCACCACAAAACCGCGGATGACAAAATCGCGGTCGACGAAAGCGCGCATTTGACGTCATCACAGCGCGACAAAAACATCGTGCTGTGATCGAAAAATGTAAAAATAAAGCAAAAACCTTACCCTAACCCCC